ATAATTTTTTAAAAAAAATATTATTTTAATATATTTTTAAATAAAAAATACTTTAAAAATATTTTAAATTATAACAGCTGCTACAATTCTAGAAAGACAGTTGAATTGTAATAAGCTTTAGAACCAAGGCTATAAGAGCATCTCCAATGGAAAAGGTAAATGGATAGCCAAAAATAAAAAATTAATATTTTAGCTTTTCTTTGCTTGTTTTACACACTTCAAGAGGGAAGCCAATGTGACTGGTTTTGACCGGATTGAATATCAAATCACAAGATTTTTTAAGTTATGCAATATTTTCTTTTGTTTACTTAATTTAGATATATATCATCTGAGTAGATATATATCATCTGAGTCTAATGTTCTAAACCTGAATGGTTGAAATCATGTAAATAATAAAATACTTATTTTTTTTTACTCTAATATAAATGGTTTTTTAAATAGCTTTTTTCCATTGAAATAGATATAGTAAAATAAATTATATTTATACTATTTAAAATATTATTTTATTAATTTAACTTTTCAAAATAGCATTTTAGATTGGAAATGTTCTAACCGGTGAGAGAATTCCTCTTTCCTTTTGCTGTTTAATTTCAAATAAAAATGCTTTAGAATATATATATATATATATATATATATATTACCAATGAAATGAACCCGTGTTACAATATTTAAATATTCTGTCAATTAAAAAGAAGATGTCTCAGTTGGAAAATGATTGAATAAAAAAGAACTATTCCAAATAATTAAGATAATGAACTATTTATTAGTTTGACTAAAGCAGAAACAAAGAGCACTACACGTGTTTGGTGCCACCATGGATTGTTATAAAGGGTACTCGGATTATTTAAATTCCGAAGCGATGAAAGGAGAATAAGACCTTCTTCACCTCCTGCAATGTACGTGGATTCGTTGCTAGTACTCTTAGCGCGCTGAGAGTTTGGTGCCAACATTTCTCTCAAAGAGTAGGAGGCCCCTAGAAATAGTGAATCGATTGCTCAGGTGACAACAGAATTTCTTCTTCGGTCCTTCAATTGGGAAATGCTATCTCTTTACAGCAAAATCCTTTCCTTCTTACATTTTAATCCACTAAATCATTTCAATTAATTGCCTCTCGATAGTTCCTCCACTGGGAAATCGACAATCAATCACGGCCCCTTTATCAGGCAACGGGGGCAGACTACTTCCTACATGATTTTCGGCCCACCCCCATCTGTTAGCAGTAGTAAAATCACGCATCACAGCACCGCTAGGAATTTTTTTGGATGATAAAAACAGGAATATAAAGGAAGCTACAAGATAGAGTTTTCGATATGCTACAGAAAATATAAAACCACCAAAACGTGGAGCCTTGTTCTATTCTGAAAGGAGAGGAACAGGAGTTGAAGAAAGAAGGGAAAGTTTTGCCATTTGCGCATGCCAATTTAGCCTTCATGACTAGACTGGATTTCACTCATAGGCTTTTACCAAGCTCTTCTGAAAGTATCCATCCCATGCTTGAGATTATTACTCCGTATCCTGAATTTCTTAAATGCAGTCTCCTACTGAAACAGCATTTAGCAATCCATTGCAGCTATATTTCGGTAATTTAAGAGGCAAAAAATATATATAGCTAAAATCAACTCATGCCATTGACTCTAAGCTGCTCTGCTGACCCTTACCTGATCAATGAAAAACACCATGACTCGCAATTTAAAACCACCATTTCCCACACCTCTTACCAGTAGGCAACCAAAATCATGATTTTGCATTCCAATTTGATTAAAGCCAAAATTTTGCTTCAATATTACTTCTAATATCCTTTCATCGACATTAATCCTGAAATCCACCCAGTCTTGGCCCCAGCATCTTCAATTCCCTAAGTCACATTTACCTATGACCACTCGCAATTCTTCAACTCCTCACAGATAATCTCTTACATACATCAAATTCAGAAGCAAGAAAATTCACTAAATCACCTTGGAAAACACTCTCTCACAAAATCTACCTAACAACTCCATAAAATAAAAGATTTAAAGCAATAGGAGTAAAACCATGGGTGCAAGCCTGCAGACCACAGAGTGTCACTCATTGCCAATTCAGAAGAAACCGTCTTTTTTCTATAGCAGACATGGTTGAACTTGTCAATTTCCTTAAGAACAAACTGTTGATCGCAGATCACAAAGCCATGTTATTTTCTACACACATGTAGTGCAACATTTGTAGTTCCACACCAAAGACTCCACAACTATAAGTTTCTGATAGTGGCATACCATATGCAAAACAAACTTGACCCATGGAAGCACAAGCACATCTACCCATTGTCATTCAATGTAATCTACATTCCCACCAAGCTCAACACACCAGCAGCCATCTCACAAGAAAACGTCTTAAAACCAAGATACCACAAAGGAAGAAATCATGAGCAAAACACTGACAATAGAATACTTAATGAACAAATATTATCTTAGATTCCCCCACCATACTTTAATCATGCACGAACCATACTCAAGTCGTTTTACACCATAATTAACAACCAATGGAGCACCCAAGTACAAGCTCTTTATGCAAATTAAACATATTAAAGAGCGGCCCTAAAACTCAATTTAGCGCCGAACATCATAACAGAAATAAAAGAAACAGGCACACAACAAAAGAAATAATCAAAACACAACAGGAAACTGAGGGCAGCATCCAGTGGTTATCGTCATTAGTCGCATATATACAAAAGTACATTCATCAAGCAAGGCCACAATGCGAGCATAAATAACTTAAAAATATACCTTCACTCTCTCAATCATCTCAATTCTTTTAATACTCACGACGGTAGTTGCTGTGACTCTCTTCATCAGCAGCAACTTTATCTATCTCATAGTTGCTCCCTTCCTCCAAATTTAACCCTCCGATTGCCCCACTGATCTCGCGCTCACTACCTTTCCCATATGAATAATAGACGGGAGCCGATGGTCCACTTGGCACTCCGGCAATCATCTCAATTCTTTTAATACTCACGACGGTAGTTGCTGTGACTCTCTTCATCAGCAGCAACTTTATCTATCTCATAGTTGCTCCCTTCCTCCAAATTTAACCCTCCGATTGCCCCACTGATCTCGCGCTCACTACCTTTCCCATATGAATAATCGACGGGAGCCGATGGTCCACTTGGCACTCCGTAATTGGATGTCTTTTGCAACAACACCGGCTGTGGTGGCTTGTGATCGTAGGGCAATGGTGATGGTTGGCAAGATAGATCAACGGGAGCAGAAGGCCCACCCGGGAAACTGTTATTGGATGCTCGATTGAACAGAGGTCGAGATGGTAGGGGAGTTTGTGAAGGATAGCAAGCAGGGTAGTAACCGTACTGATCGGTGTAGCCGTATGGAGAGGGAGAGCATTCCCTGTAGTCACGTGCGGGAGGTTGAACAGGGGCAGGGTTGTAATAATGGCTATAATTAGGGGCAGTATGGTAATCCTGCACAGGAGGAGGCAAAGGCCGTTCTTTCACCTCCAGTTTCACCAGGACTTTACCCTGTGGACGGCCAGAGGGACGTGAAAGCTCGAGTGTGCGGACCGAGTAGGACGTTGTCTCGTCCGAGTCGAGGAGCTGACTCAGTGGAAATTTCACGGTGCCAACAAGAGGTTTGGGGGTTTCGGATGGCTTGGAGTGGAAGACGTCGAGAGTGAGGACTGAATCGTGGCGAATTATGGGGATAGTAAATCGTTCGTTCCAGACGGGGCGCGTTGAGAGTGAGTCGTCGGCATGAGTTGCGAGTCGGTTGTCCGAGTTGTCGAGATAGAAGGTGGCGTAGGGTTTCAGATCGCCGTTTCGCCAATTGACGTTTTTGAGGTGTTTAGCAGAGATTATTGTGATCTCGAGATGGAGAGGCTTTGGGGAAGCCATGAGATTTTTCTTTCCTGGTGGTGGTTTGCACGTGCGCTCAAGGTTCAGGATGAGAACGCGACGAGAAGCATAAGGAAAAGGAAGAGTTTGATGGCGCGAAAAAATAAAAAGAAAGAACAACTGGATATCGTGTATTTGTATGCAGATCCACTCAACTAAATCGAATCCTAAAGTATCCAACATTATGCAATCTTACCCTCCTATCGTCAGCTTAAAATGCCATTAAAAAAGGATTATTTAAGATTTATCTTTTGACGCGGGTTTTTTCCCTTTAAATATTATTAAGTTGATATTTATTTTAAATTAACTCTTATAAGAGAAATAGCATTATAAATCTTAATTATAGGGTTGTTTTTTTAATATAAAATCTAATTAAGCTTAATTTGTTAAAGAAATAATTAAAAGATTTGCTATTCAAATATCATTAAGATTAAGATCAAATATCACAAATTTAAAAAAAAACTTTCAATTGATATAAAAATTCATTTACGATGAATCCTGAGGATCTTACTAGGATTAGGTGCGCAAGAGGGTGTTGATTTTTGTGGCTGGCAAAGATGATTTGAAGGTATTTAATATAGGAGGGTTCTTATGGAAAAATATTTGTTTTTTGAGTTCTATTCATTTCTATTTAGTTTTTTTTTTAACTCATTTAGTAAATCAGATACTATGCTTGATAATATTGTTTTTTTACTTAATTTAAGAATTATCAATCTTATTATTTCTTATTTAGTTATGATTATTTGGCTTTATTTAATATTTTTTATATGGTCCCATTTAGTGTTTTCATCGAAGGGTTGAAGGGAAGTGTCGAAACTGTGGAGTATGAAAGTGGAGACTCGTCAATTCTCTACTCAATTGATTTGGCAATGTCACCTCGAAATAATATTTTTTATTTTTTATTTTTTTAATTATTTAGATAATATTTTTAATTTTTAATTTTTTTAAGTGGCCAAATGATAAATACTTAACTTGATTGCTTATATAACATAATATTTTTAATTTTTAATTTTTTTAATCATTTAAGTAGTGGCCAAGTAATAAATACTTGGCTTAATTGCTCATATGATAACCACTGGAGGCTTATATGATCGTTAACTTTAGGGCCCGTGGAATTAGTCATAATGCGCACAAGCTGGCCGAACACCCATGTTAATAATATATATATATATATTTTTTAATTTTTATCCAAAATACATACGATAAATAAAAGATATGGACCATCAATAAAAAAATATTATTACCCTATGAAGTATGACCATCAATAAAAAAATATTATTACCCTACTAAGTACCGCTTTTCTTTGTACCGCTTTTTAGCCAGGGTTCGATAAAAATTAATTTTTAAAATGCTTTTAATTTAAAAATATATTAACATAATATTTTTATTATTAAAATTATTTTTTTAATACCAATATCAATGTATTAAAAATAAAAAAAATATTAATTTAATTTAATTTTTTAATTTAACTTAATTTTTTTCAAAACACGTTTAATCATCAAAGCAAGTATATGGATTGATCAAACTAACTAACCTTGTTTAAGAGTTTTTTCCTTTCCTTTCTTTTTTCTCTACTGATGATATGATTAGCGTTAGTAAAACGTGATTGTGATATGATTAGCGTCTAATGATAATGTCAGCATAGAGAAATATACTTTGTAAGAAAATAAATAATAAATAATAATATAAAAATATAAAAATTCAACTGGATGTAATATCTATTTATATAAGAAAATCAAAATTAAGGAAATGATTGATAATATCAAATTTCACATGATTTTAAAATCTATCATTATTTTATATTTTATGTTAATTTCAGAGATATTAACATAAAATATTATTTTAAAACATTTTAATAAACAAATACTTTAAAAAGAGACACAACTATATTTTTAATCCACGCCCCCAAACAAGCCCTGATATATATAAAAAAAAAAAAAAACATCAGGCAGGCATTAAGGGGGGGAAGGAACAAAACATTTTTCTAAGAGAAGGGAGTGTTCCGTGCTAAGAGGGCAATAATTAATGATCAAACTACAGTTCAATTATTTATCAAATCTACTCTATATTTTCATAGCAATGATATTTGAGTAACCTTCAAGGATCTTGTAGTGGAAGCTTAAGCAATTTATTACTTTTTATATTAATGGTTGACGATTGAAGACGACTACCGTTGGTAACATCTGAGCCATCAAGGTGGTTAACTTGGGCTTGACGATGAATCTGCACACATGGATCAGCTAGCCCGAGCCATGGAAGGAAGGTGTGCCTACCTGTGCAAGAAAATAAAATGGAAAAGAAAATGCACACTCCCTACGCAGGCATTATCCTGTTCAGGTTCAAAGGGACTTTCTCAGCCTGGCAGCTGCCTCCTCCAGCCAGATGGCCAGTGTTAAAGCAGGGCACAGGCACCCCTGGTGCTTTCTTTCGTTAACAAAATTGCAAAAGATAAACTTTTATGGAAAATATAGCGACTGCATTTTATTACTGCAACAGAGACATGGAGCACAACAAACATAAATGACCCCAAGCTACCAAACACACTGAACCATCAACTTACCCACTTATTAAAAGCTAAGACCAGATATTGCTGTTCTTGACAAGCAAGGATGCATCAGGCCTGCAAGGCTGTTTACAGAAACTCCCCATGCGCATGTTTCCTGCAAGAAAATTCCACAAACTTCCTAGTGAAAAAGGTTTGCATTTTCTATGTATTAGCAGTAATGAGCAAAGGACTAGGTTATTATTGACAGGATATGCATTAGCAGCACAAATATGAACAATATTTGAACACAATATATTTGGTGCAACCAAAGCCCTTCGATTGGTAGCATTCATGACCATTTACTGCAAATGGAAAGTGCACTTAGATCATAAGTTGGCCACATACTCAGCATTTATTGCCAGCATTTGCCTAAGGGGAGTCATTTCTCCATGGTTAGAGGGTTGGTTACAGTATTAACAAGAAGCACTTCATATACTTTGATGCTCTTTCTAGTATTTGCACAAAAGCTTACCTTCATCTGTCAGAGGAACTGATGTATTTTGCTGGCAGATAAATTTCTCCACCAACTTCACCATGTTGTTCTCCACTTATAGTTTTCCTAGCAGCCAGGAACTCAGCACTCATGGCATCCATCCCATGTTGCACAGCTTCTTCCGCACTACCATAACCATGCTCCTCTGCATACTTTCGAATATCCTCTGTTATCTTCATAGAGCAGAATTTAGGCCCACACATGGAGCAAAAATGTGCCACTTTTGCACCTTCTGATGGGAGGGTTTCATCATGGAAGGACATGGCCGTCATGGGGTCCAATGACAGAGCAAACTGGTCCGTCCATCGGAACTCAAATCTTGCCTTACTTAAAGCATCATCCCAGGCTTGCGCATGAGGGTGACCTTTTGCCAAATCAGCAGCATGAGCAGATATCTTGTACGCTATAACTCCAGCCTTCACATCATCTCTGTTTGGCAGTCCAAGGTGCTCCTTTGGTGTGACATAACAGAGAAGTGCAGTGCCAAGAGCCCCAATATTGGCAGCGCCAATAGCAGAGGTGATGTGGTCATATCCAGGTGCAATGTCAGTTGTTAGAGGTCCAAGAGTATAGAAAGGAGCTTCATTGCACCACTCTAGCTGTTTTTGCATGTTCTCAGGAATCTTGTGCATGGGAACATGTCCAGGCCCTTCATTCATAACCTAGAAAAGTACATGAACATGTAGGTCACAGATTAAAACCAAAAAGAAAGCAGTTGATCTTTCAGAAAGAAGCATGGCTGGAAAAAAGTTAAATGCTCTGCTAATTAAAACATAATCTTGGGAATCCATCTGTGTCATCTCTGGTTTGTTGGTTCAATGCATGAAAGCCACTAATATTTACACCAAGCACACAAAAAGATTTGAAAACCAAATAGTGTCATTTAAACAGTAAACATGAAGTCTATACTTCCACAAAAATACTCCTTGTTGCATAGCTCCTGCATGAAGCTTAGAAGTCCTAAAATATATACTGATAAATGATTACCTGTACATCCTTTTCCCATGCCCGACGAGTCAGTTCCCCTTGAGTTAAAAGCTCTGCAAATTGAGCAGTGTCATTGGCATCATATATGGACCCAGGCCTCAGTCCATCACCAATTGACAGGGCCACATCATATTGATTGCATATATCAAGGATGTCATCCCAATGCTCGTATGCAAAGTTCTCCTTGTGATAAGCTAAGCACCACTTGGCATGGATTGATCCTCCTCGCGAAACAATTCCTGTCATGCGCTTTGCAGTTAAAGGGATGTACCGCAGCAGAACCCCAGCATGAATTGTGAAATAATCTACACCCTGCTCGGCTTGTTCAATCAGGGTGTCTCTGAAGACTTCCCAACTAAGATTTTCAGCAATTCCATTTACTTTCTCAAGTGCTTGATAGATAGGCACAGTACCTACTGGCACAGCAGAGTTACGTAAGATCCACTCCCGGGTCTCGTGAATGTGGCGACCAGTGGAAAGATCCATAACAGTATCAGCACCCCACATAGTTGCCCATTGAACCTTATAAACTTCTTCCTCGATAGAGCTCGCAACGGCAGAATTTCCAATATTTGCATTGACTTTAACCAAAAAATTTCTTCCAACGATCATCGGCTCCAGCTCTAAATGCTTCTTGTTGGAAGGGATAATAGCCCTCCCACGAGCAACCTCTGACCTCACAAACTCCGGGTCAAGCTTTTCACGAGCAGAACAATACAGCATCTCCTCAGTTATAATTCCCTGTTTCGCATAGTACATCTGAGTGTACCTTGGTGTTCCTAACTTCTCCCTCCTGTCAACCCATTCTTTACGCAGCTTAGGAAGTCCTGAAGACACAACACCGTTCATTTACAGTAGCAAATTAATTTCATGATACAAGTCTGTCTTTCTTAGCCCACAAAAACTACCATGACATGACACTCAAGAAAAAGAAAGCTGACAGTAGAAAACAGCATACCCAAGCATCAGTTAAAAAAAAAACAATCTAGACGGACAAATCCCCCAAAGTTTACAAAAATTTCAGAATCCCCTTATTATTTGAAGCTTTTAAAATAAGTTCTAGTGTAATGGCCATCCCCATATAAAAATGCAAAATCTTGGCCCTCCCGATAATTTGTTAAGTAGTAACAAAAGTAAGTTAATTGTTAATGCAAGGGTAAGGAAGGTGATGAAACGAAAATTAAAAGATAGACAAG